TCAAAAAAGTAGAATATGAAATTTATAATGTTTCCTTAATATTTTGTGTGTATTTCAAGACTCAAAATTACATGCAGCCACATTAATTAATTACACAAAAAACAAAAATTGTTTAAATTTATAATTAATAATTTGATACACTATTAGAGCTATGCTGCACACCAGAGGTACTTTCCTCTGGTAGACATTAATCTATTTTTTTTTACTTTAACTAAAGGAAAAAATTAATATTAGTTATGTGTATTATACTTACACTGAATTTTACAATAAAGCTGTTTCAGTTCTAGTTGCTTACCTATACAACGGTAAATTCAAATGGCTGCTGCCTCTTTTTGAGTATAAAGACTGGCAGCAAAAACTATGTCTCTTTTAATTGCTGTAGAGGCCTCTTCCATTTTATTTTTTAACTCGGGATCTCCAATATACTTGGCTGCATCTTTTACTTTCGAAATAATTTCATTTAACTGCTGTATGCAGCGAACTATTATACCCTCCTGGACATCTGTTAATTCCATTATTTCTGCAAATGGCTTTAAAAAACATGACTTATAGTAAAAAATTTGTTACACATTTATGCAATAAAATTTACTTTGCCTGTAGCCCATTCATAGACAACTTGCACCAAACCAAAATTAAGCTCATTGTCGTTACTTTCATCTCTAATCTTATAATACATTTCTAAATACCTAATTTCATGAGCCACATCTTTAATTATTTCAATTCCCTGGAAATAAGAAAAATTCTCATACATTGAGATCCACAAGTACATATTTATTATAAAGAAAATACTGACGGCTTTCAGTTCTTCCGATATCGACTGTTCTTCTCTAGTTTTCGCTTGGAAAACGAGAGAACTTAAGAGTGCAGCTATCACAGCAGGTTGTAGTTTTGTTAAATAATTTCTTAAAATTAGCTCAGTTATAAGGAGTTCGTGCATTCCCATTTCACAAGCAACAACACCTTTCAGTTCAACTGCAAAGAAAATCTAACGCTTTATCTAATAAATGATAAAAATAAAAAACGCCACAACCAATGAAAAATGCTACAAATTAATAACCAATAATTTTTGTTTATACCCAACAAAATTACCATTTTCAATTATTTCTAGTTTTAAATTGTATTAGACATATAAGTACGCTTATAAAAACATACGTGAAGAATAATTTTAATCTTTGTGGTAATTGCATTCCTGTGATTTTGAGGAATAGTCTCGGTATAAATAAACTTTATCACTATACTGAGGTATACTATTTTAACTGTTTTTAAGAAAAAAAATATTCAATTTTTAACAAAAAATAGTTAATTTGGAGTAATCATTAAAGCTTTTCACATATCAACTTTCATCACTATCACTATTGATCTAGTGAAAGACAATGTAAAACCACTTTTCTTTTAAATTTTACCATGCCTAAAACTACTATTTATATTCATCTATTGTTACTTAGTAACCGATTTTCTTATTAATGAATCTTTTTTAATAAAAATTCGTCATACCTTTATTCTGAGAGTCGACGTACTTCAGCCTTTTTAATAAATGAATTCTGTTTTCATAATCGGGATATAAAGTTAAACTAGCATTTGATAACTGACATTTAAGCAACGTTCGACGATCTTCAAGTGAATTTCTAAGAAAAACTTCTTGAAATTGTTCTTTAAAATTAGCTATCTTGGTGCTTCCTACATGGTCGAGAACAATTTCTTTTAATTTGCATAATTTTTGAACTTTCTCTACGAGTTCCAGTTCCTTCACTTTCAAATCCTCCATGAAAGTTAGGTAATTTATTTTTTGTTCAGGAACGCCCATTCCTTTAGTTCCTATGGACAATTTGTAAAGTTCTTGTACGGCTGCAGAACATGTCTGACCTGGAGTTTTATCTTTAAACCTTGAAAAGAAAAAGTTACCTAAAAGGCGCTAATTTATTTGATTAGAAAAAAGCATATTTTATTGTTTTATATAAGAGAAGGGCAAAGTAGTATTACGTAGTTAGTATCAGGAATTTCTTATGCTGAGGTGTACGATGTGTTGCATACCTATTTACAAACAATTCCTTTAAATTTAATTTTTCAAACAATTTTTAAAACAGAGAAAGTGATTAAACAAATTATTCACAAAAGTGAATTTTGACCACTCGAAGCAATAGTGTTAACAGTTTCAAGCTCACAGTGACTGATGGGGGGGAAGAATTTATATAACTTAAAACTATTTGTGATATAATTTTTACTAACGTGCATATCCAAAGCAAATCGAATAAAAACAAAGCGAATGATTCATAAAATGTGAAGAGCAATTTTCTTGACTAAAACTCTGGAATGTTATTTTTCTGTACCTATTACTTTATGTGCAATTTAAATGAATAGAAAATTCTTACTTGTAGATTTTAATTGTTTTAAAATTTTAAAAAACACAAACAGTAAACAATGATTACCTTGGAATTTGTCTCTCATCCCAATCTCTCAAAATGATAGCAAAGTCAGTTTTGATTGTTTTCGAAGTAATTTCCGAAATGTCATATGATTGTATGTTGAGAACTGCATGTCCAATTGCGCCACTTGAGGGGGTAAAAATTTCTTCTGTTGCAATTGCTAACATTTTGTACCATTCTTCAGGATGACTTGTTTTTTCATTTTCTTCTTTATCAGATTTTTCATCATCTAACACAAGAACCCTATAGAGCTGGTCGTCAGGTTTTGATGTGACGCTCAATATCAAAGCTAATTTATTAATATGAATACTCTGTGTAATTAATATCACACGGCCTGGAATTACCTCTTTAGCCACGACTGGAGATTTTAATAGTTCAGGCTAAAAAATTTGAAGTTTCACAGATAGTACTTGAATAAACAGAAAAATCAAATTTAAATATTTAATGCTTAAACAGATGCTTCTCTAGTACATAAGATATCTAGTGATTCAAATGATTTCTAAGTCTATGTGTGTTCAAATTTATATTTCTACTTACGAATACTTCCTTTTTAAGCTGTAGATATTTGCTTGCATGTTCATAAAATTTTCTCAACGGTTGCAAATATTCACTCAATTCTTTCGATGCTTTTTGTTTAAGTTGCAATTCAACTTTCTGCAGTTCTTCTTTAACGCTTTCCTTTCTTTTTTCATGATCCGCTTCGCGAAAACTTTTTGACATCATACCTTCAACCGACAAACTTTCAACTCTTAGGAGACTTAAGACCTATAAAAATGTAAAACAAAATAAAAATTAGGTAATCATTATTATAACAATATATTCGAAATCCCACCATTCCGTATGTAAGCCTGAATTGACTTGTCAATTGACTTGGTTTACCCATCATCATGGTCTGTAAGACATGCAAAGGAGGCACTTCTCTCTTACAAATTATAATCACTGTTCCCGTGTCATCCAAGCGTCTTCTACCAGCTCTTCCAGCCATCTGTATATATTCAGCAGGAAGAAGTGTTCTTTTACACCTACCGTCATGTTTCTCAATTGAATCAAAAAGTACAGTTCTAGTAGGCATATTTACACCCATTGCAAATGTTTCAGTTGCAAAAAGCAGCTAAAAAAGTTACCATATTTTTTAATAAGTAGTTAATTATTTTTTTGTATGTTAAATGATAAAAATCGGGAATGTTTAAGCATTTTTAATTGTTTGTCTTACTGTTAGTTTCTTTTTCAAATTATCAATTCTAGACATTGCATTAACGCTTACACAATGGCAAAGTTTAAAAACAAAGATAGCGTCATAGAAACACACATTACCTTAACAAATCCTCCTTGAAACAACATTTCTACCATTTCCTTAATTATTGGTAAAATGCCACTATGGTGAACACCCACGCCTCTGATTAGGGTGTCTTTCATTTTCTTGACTTGAGGTATTTCCCTGTCAGTTTCTTTAAGGCTTGAAATGCACTTGTTAAAAAAGTTCTCAATGTAAAATTTTTCTTTTGCGGTAGTTAAATCAAGTGACCTTAAAATTTCGGCGTTTATGTCGCACCGAGCTCTAGAAAATGTGAAAGCCACTGCAGGTAAAAGTTCCTTTTTATTCAAATGATCGACAAGACCTTCCCACATTGTCTTTTCTTGTTTTTGACTGTAACCTGGACTTGGTTGATACGGCTCCTTTTTCGTGGGAAACTTTTTATTAGGATTTGCATTCTTATCTTGTTTTGGAGCCAAAGATTCTACAGCTTTATTGTAACTGAAATTGAAGATGAAGGTATACTTCAAAATTAATAAAATCTAAAGAAGTATGACATTACAGGACTAACTTTTCACCTCTAGGGAAACAAAAAATTTTAAATATATTTATACTTAGATACATCAAATAAAAATCATGAAGTAGAACCAGATGGATTCTAAATTTTATAGAAACAGTAAAACTTTTTGAGAAGCTCTCAAAAATTTAATTTTATTACAGTTTTGATAATTTGTTAAAGAAATCCTAATTATTTAGTCACTTATTTACAATTTTTTGTTCACTAATACAGATTTTAAAAAATATTGAAAAAATAATTACATAAGTCGTTTAAGTATTCTTTTTTATGTTGGTAAATTTTAGTGTGTGTTAAGTGTTAAATTCGGATAGGTACAAAACAATTTTCGAAAAGCCTTAAATTCTTCAAAACACTGATTGTAATAAATCATAAATTACCCCGCGAGGACGAATTGACCGTTCCCAGCTTGTATTAAATATCTGTTATCTCTGCTTTTTCCTCCACATCCTGTGTATAAATAATGCTGTAGCGGAACCGGTCTTTTGTCCGTTTTGATAACGTATACTTTTCTCTGATGTGTCCTTCCCAACCAATCTGCAAATTCTGTGGTATTTGGGACAGTAGCGCTCAGCAGTACGACGCAAACGTGGGGTGGTAACATTATAAGTACCTACATATTAAAATGTTTTATTAAATTTAAATTTCGTAAATGATTACAAATATTGTAATTGAAGTTTTATATTCACTTGGAAATCAGAGTTAAAATAATTACTGTACTGCCGAAGTATGTAAAACATAATTAATTAATTTTTGGTACACAGATAAACTTATTAACTAGCAAATACTTTCATGGTATAATTATTATATTTATGTAAGTACCTGTTCCCAAACATGACCTCTTTCTTTATCATTTATGTAATGCACTTCATCAAAGATTACGTACTCAAGATCTCTGGCAATATCACTTCCTCGATAGAGCATAGAT